AGAATCCTGGACTGGAATGATAATACAGTGGGTAGGGTGCTTGCCTTATATGCAGCTGACGAGGGTTTGATTCAGAGCATCACCTATGATCCCCCAGTCCAGGAGGTATGTAGATCCCAGATAACAAAGCCAGGAATAAGCACCACTGGGTATGCTCCAAACAAAACAAAAAGATGAAAACAGAAATAAATAAAGGTATACTTCTGTGACTTATTCAGATCTGGACAGCCATCACCACAATCTAATTTATTTTGAGGGGTGGGCCAAATCTGGTGATGCTCAGGGGTCATTCCTGGCTCTGCACTTGGAAATTCCTCCTGGCGGTGCTTGGGGATGTGGATAAATGGACGCCAGGGATTGAACCTGGGTTGGCCACATGCAAGGCAAGTGCCCTGCCCATTGTGCTGTCACTCCTGCCCACACAATCTAATTTTAGAGCAATTTTATCATCTCAAAGGAGCCCTATATCTGTTAGCAGACATTTTCTGCTCACCCCTTCCCTTGTGAAAAATCAGTTGGTGGGAATGTGTGGGTTTTGGGTTCTCAGCTCTGCTTCACTCATCTAGGTCTATTGTCAAGCCAGTAACACTTAACTTGATTTCTTTAGCTTTGTCTAAGTTTAAATAGGTAATTCTAAGTCCTGCAACTTTTTCCTGGTAATGTTGTCTATTAAAGGTCCACATGTATTTTGGGATCAGTGTATCAGTTTCTGCAAAAGCAAAACAAAACAAAACAAAACCAGATAGGCTTTTGGTAGGCTCTACAAATATGTAAATCAACTGAGAAGTATTGCCATTATAATAACAGTATCTTTTGACTGACACACAGAAATTTCTTTCCATTTATCTAGCTCTTTAATTAATTCTATGTGTGGTAGTTTCCAGTATCTTGTATTTCTTGTGTTAAAATTAATTCATAATTTCAATTATTTTTGGTGCTATTATTATTCTTAATTTAATTTTGGATTTCTCATCCCAAGTATTGAAATACATATTTATATATTGATTTTATATCTTGCAACATTTTTTAAGAGAATGTTATTTTAACATTGTGGTTTATAAAGTGGTTCATATTAGAGTTGTTTCAAGGCATTCAGCTTTTCCGGTATCAATCCCACCTCCAGTGTCGCCTCTCCACCATTGCCCCCTGTTTCACACCCAACCCCGAATCCTGCCCTCTTGGCAGGAACAAAATTGTTTGCTTGGTATTGCTTATTACAAAAAAAATGGTAAGTGAAATTATTAAAAATGAGTCTAGTAAAAAAGTTTTGTGAAAATAGTTATATTTCACAGTGATGTTATTAAAGTCATTGAGGACTCACTGAGCTATTCCTTGCTGGTTGAGCCTTCTGTGTTACTGTTTTGCTTTCTGAGCTTAGGGGGCGTCTCTGCTATTCACCCATCTAATTTGCTGTGCTCCTACTGGGCGGTCATTGTGGGATTTGGAGGGGTTGAGGCTGTGTAATAGGCTAGAGCGATAGCACAGTGGGTAGGGCGTTTGCCTTGCTATGTGGCTGACCCGGGTTTGATTCTTCTGCCCTCTCAGAGAGCCTGGCAAGCTACCAAGAGTATCCCGCTCGCACGGTAGAGCCTGGCAAGCTCCCCATGGCATATTCGATATGCCAAACACAGTAACAAGTCTCACAATGGAGACATTACTGGTGCCCACTTGAGCAAATCGATGAACAATGGGAAGACAGTGCTACAGTCCAGCTGTGTATAAGACTGTGTGCTCCAGGACCCCCAGGATCTGTAGAACTGGGACAGTTTTCTGTTCACCTCCCTCTCTCAGGGTGCCCCAGAGTTTTCAACCCCCCGTACCTGTGTAAGTCTGGGAGTTTCATTGGCTTGGCTTCTCTTTGGAGCTTTGTTGTGGAGCAGGGAAGTTGGGCTGTTAGTACAGAGGTAGCTTCAGAGTACAGGTACAGCTGCTGGAGCTTCAGCCTGACCCTGACGTCCCCTGAGGGGGCCCTAGAGTTTTCAGCCCGAAGACCTGTGTCCCTGTGAGTTTTGTCAGCTTGGCTTGATAGCTCTTCTGAGATCAGTCGTGAAGCTGGGCTGTTAACATGGTGTTGGCTGTGGGCTATGGGTATTTTGCAATCCTTGTTTGCTTGTTTGTGTGTGTGTGTGTGTGTGTGTGTGTGTGTGTGTGTAGGGGGGGGTTGTCTTGTTTTAGACAACCTGGTAATATTTATAAATATTACACACCTGGCGATGCTCAGGGCTTACTCCTGGCTCTGCACTCAGGATCACTCCTGGTGGTGTTTGGGTGTATGGGGTGCTAGGATTCAAAACTGGGTTGACAGTGTGCATGACAAGTGCCCTACCTGCAGGACTATTACTCTGGCCCCCTTGCAGTCTTACTGAGCTCATTAGTTATTTAGCGGAGTTCTTTGGATAAACTGTATATAAGATCATGTCATCTTGTAAATAGAAATTATACCTTTCCTTCCTATCTGAGTGCCTTTTATTTCTTCCTCGTTAGAAGAAACTTTCTTGTCCTTGCTAGAATGTTTAGAACAGTGTTGAATAGAAGTGGTGAGCCGATGTCCTTGTTTTGTTCAGTCTTTTTTATTGTCATGCATGCAGCGCCTGTATGCTACCACTGAGCTACATCCCTGGCCGTGTGTGTGTGTGTGTGTGTGTGTGTGTGTGTGTGTGTACCATGTGTATGTGTTGCCAGGGTTTAAACCCAGTACCTCACACATGCAAGGCAAGTGCTCTCTCAGGTACATCCCTGGTCCAAGTCTTCAGTCCTTCACTTTTTCTTGCTAACTGGGTTTTCCCCTATTCCTAGTTGTTGGGTTTTCTCCTATTCCTTGTTGTTGTGAGGAACTGTTAGAACTTGTCATATTTTTTCTGTACTTTTTTAATGTCATCATGTGATTTTTTTGGTCCTTCAATATTAATATGATTTTCGGATGTTAATCCAACCTTACATTCCTTAGATAAATATTACCGTTATTAATCATTATTTTACATTTTGCTGGAATTTAATATTTTTTTTTGCAGTGCTAGTGATTGAACCTAGGACATCACACATGCAAGGCAAATGCTTCCTCCACTGAACTATGTCCCCAACCCTAAAGGCTTGCTAGTATTGAAGAATTTTATATTTACAGTCCTAGAAAAATGTTGGTCCATAGTTTTTCTTGTACTATTTTGGCTAGCTTTGATATCAAGGCAATACTTATATATCATGGCTCGAGTTGGAAAAGTGCTCTTGTTTTTTGGAAATGTGCATAAAGCTTTTTTTAATTAACTTTTTCTTCCTTCCTTTTTTCTTCCCTCCCTCCATATTCCCTCACTGCCTTCCTTTCTTCCATTATTTCTTTGATTTTTATTTTTTATTGAGATATCATTGGTTTGCAAGAGTATAAATGTTTTTGTTTTAAGCAGTACTCTCTAACCACACTTACCAAAGTACCCATAGTCCTTCCCCACATATCACTGGACCCTGTCACGCCACTCTCCTGCCTTGGTGACCTCAGTTCTGTTGTCAGATTCCAAGGGTTTGTTTTCCCTGGACACTGCCCCTCCCTTGCTCTCTTTTTTTTTATGTCCCTCATAGACGTGCCATTATTTGTTGCTTGTCTTTCTCCTGCTAATTTATTTACTGTAAACCCCTCCAGTTCCATCCGTGTCATAGCAAAACAGCAAGAGTTCGTCTCTCCTAGTGGCTGGCAAGCCTGCCTGAAAAGCTCAGCCGGATTCCCGAGTGAAGCCCTCTGGCATGAGCTTGTCTATGCTGGAATATTCTAGTGCCTGGATCCCCATCTCTGTTTCTTATAGGACAGTTCAAATTGTGTGTCTGTCTGTCTATCTTCTTGAGTTCATCTCTGTGGTGTGTGTCTTTGTACGGCCGTGTCAGTTTGCCTGTTGTCTAGTTCATTCGTCTCCACTTGCAGTTTCCTGTCAGAGCGGCAGTGACATTTCCACTGTCATTCCCCATCTCACTGACCCGACCCTTCTTTTCCCAGACAGTCTAAGGGTTTGTGTGTTTTGTTGATCCCCTCATCTGCCTGGCGGCCGAGGACCCGTGGTGACTTCCCTTCAGTTCTGGAGGCTGGCTCTCGGGGATCCTGCGGTGCTGAGGGCTCTGGGAAGCTCTGGACACCTTTGCCTGAGCACTGGTTCCATTTACAAGGGCTCTGCCCTCATCACAAATTCACTCCAAGAGTTCCCAGTTGCGCCTCTTGATCCCGTCATACTGGCATTCGGATTTCAACATATTTTGGATTAGACACAAATGTTCAGCACCTAACACCCACTACGGTCAGTGGGATCCTAGCAGTCTCTCCTATTTCTTTCCTGATGTTGGTCATGTGTGTATTTTTCCTTAGCAGTAGGTGTGTACCATTATGTGTGTGTGTATGCACACACATACGTAGACACACACAGTGGACGCATGTGAGAGAAATCTCTATAAGACTGGAGTAGCATCGGTCGCTCTAGAGAGAGGGGCGAGTGGCAGGGAGCCTGCAGGCCCCAGACACGACTCACAGACCTTTTGCTCTTGGTGCCCTGGCATGGTGGTGCCTCCGCAGAATAGGATTTAAACCTTAAGAAAGCTTGCCTAGCAGTCTGACGAAGTATCAGCTGTCTTCAGGGTTCTCTGTCTTCCAGAAGGTTTTTGTTACTGTTTTGGTCATTGTGTGGTTTGGATTGGATTGGATGTCATGTTTAGTTTGGATTTGGGGGCAATGCCATCAGGACTTACTCCTGGCTCAGTACTCAGGGACCACTCCTGGGGGAGCAGGCAGTGCTGGGGATTGCACCTAGATTGGCTGCCTGCAAGCACCCTATCTTGCTGTTCTGTCTCTCTGGCCATTGGAGATTTTTGACTCTGTTTCATGGTTTTCTTCCTTGCCCTAACCTGTTTACTTCCCTTCCCCCTTGCGGAGCAATCCATCCAGGACCAGAGGGGAATCGGAGGTGTGAGGTTTGCACCTGTGCCACTGTCTATGCGTTGGTAACCCTTCCCTTTGGGGCCTTTTGCAGAGCGACCTGTTGGCTGGGCCGAGTCCATCCTGGAGGAGGACATGTCCAACCCTGAGCCCGTCTTCCCCAGGTACGCATCTCCCTTTCCCTAGGGCCTGAGGGACAACCTCGGCTTAGGCAGGAGAGACAGCCCCTGGGCACCCGAGGTTGGTTTGCGGCATGCTTTATCTCATGCTCTCTTTCCTTGATCTGTGCTGAACTGATGACCAGGTCAGGGGAGGCAAGAGTGACCCGCTTGCCTTTGCCAATGATGAGTGCTCACATCCCCAAGGAAACTCAGGGAATGCGGCCTCCCACAGAGCGTGCTGACCCTGGATCCTTTTCCAGGCCGCAAGGGGAGAGAAGATGGGTGCAGAGCACCTGTCTCTGGCCTAATCTCAGCCTCCTATTACTGCTGGAGGGATTTGCTGAGATGGAGTTATCTGGAATCACCCTCTAAAAATACTTCAGACGGGGTGGGGAGCACTCTTCCCCGTGCCCCCCCCCCCCACACACACACCGCCTGGCCCTCCAGGCACTGGCTGGAGTAGTCTTGGTGGCCCACCAGCCACCATGGGGTGTGGTCCTACCCCTTCTCTCAACACTTCCAGATATTGGTCCCACAATATCCATTGCTAACCATGGCAGAGAACTCCCAACTTCAAATTTGCCGAGGAAGTGAGCTTGGACGAGGCTCATTTCTGCGTGTTGCCTGACCTCTGCCCTCTTTCCCCCAGGACTGTGGGCACCATCCAGCACTGCCTTCACCTGACCTCGGTGTATACCCATTTCCTGCCCCAGCATGGCCGACCAGAGGTCACCACAATGCCCTTGGGTCTTGGAACAACAGTGGATTACATCTTCTTCTCCGCTGAGTCTTGTGAGACTGGGAACAGAACTGGTAAGCCTGGTGGGTGGGTGTTGGGTCCCTGATTGTCAGCGAGGCTGGGTGTTTCAGCCATGGCCAGGCGGCAGCTCCTGACCCAGACCAGGGCCGACTGCATCCCCCCTCTGCATGGTCCCCGTGTCACTCTTCTCTTGGGCCATGTGCCTGCCTGGCTATCTCTGTAACCTTAGGGTGCCTTTGTGTAGAGACGAACACAGAGCTGGGGAGTGCTGGAGTCTGCTTGCGGGCACCTGTCAGTGATGGTGTGGTTAGCACGCAGGTGCTGGTCCCTGCCCCCACCTGTCCTGCTCATCACAGTCTCCAACCCCCGGCCTTTTGAAAGAATGTTTGCTTGTTTGTTGTTTTGTTTTTTGGCTTTTTGGGTCACACCCGGCAATGCACAGGGGTTACTCCTGCCTCTGCACTCAGGAATTCCTCCTGGTGGTGCTTGGGGGACCATATGGGATGCTGGGAATCGAACCTGGGTCGGCCATCTGCAAGACAAGCACCCTCCCTGCTGTACTATCGCTCTGGCCCCTGAAAGAATCATTTTCAAAATGTGTATGACCCGATCACTTCTGTGTGAGATGGAAGTTTTATCTAAACACCCTGAATTTGCAGCTTTTCTTGGGGAATTTGAAGATGCTGCTGGCCCGCTGGGCCTGGGTACACGCTCTCTGCTTGGCCCCCACGGCCTCGAAGCTGCCCTGCTCCGTTCCTCCGTGGGTGGTGGGGTGGCTGAGAGCGTGGTCTGGGGGCGGGGCTGCCCTCTCATCCCCTCCCACCCGGCTCCCCAGACCACAGCCTCTACCAGGACGGAACGCTCAAGCTCCTCGGCCGTCTCTCCCTCCTCTCCGAAGAGATACTCTGGGCCGCCAATGGTTTACCCAACCCCTTCTGCTCCTCTGACCACCTCTGCCTGCTGGCCAGCTTCGGAATGGAGGTCACGGCACCATGACGGGCTCCCGGGGGAAGTGAGCTCACCGAGTCAAGAGACTGGAAATCCCCTGCGCTTCTGGAGACTTAGAGCCGAGAAACTTACGTCCCCCCCCCCACCTTCTACCCCCCACACCTCCTCTTGTTCCCTTCCCCCTCCGGTTTAGATTTGCTCCGGGCCTGTCCGTGTTCTCTGCCTGTGGTCCCTGCCCCGCCCCAACCTCTTCCTTATCCTGTGCCACCTAACTCGGTGGCCCGGGGAGAGGCAGAAGGGGGGCTTCCCCCTTCCTTCCATGTATCCAGCACTCCCCCTTGATTTTTAATGACCAGGGTTGTGGGAGCTATTGATCTCATTGGTTATTTGCTTTCAGGCCGTTTCTTGGTACCCTCTGACCCGACTTTCTCCCTGCCTCCTGGACCCCCTGGGGGGTCCCGCCCTCTTGCCAGGCACCCGCTCACACGAGAGGTGTGTGGGGCCGGCTGGGTCCTCTTGGGCCGGGACCAGCCTGTGTGGCCATGCCCGCCCTCCTCATGTGGCCCAGGAGATGTCTGCAGCTGGCCGGCGGCCACGGGGGCCCGGCCCTCCTCTCCATAACCTCTCTCCTAGGCGCGTGTCATGCCGGCCGGGACGTCGTCGTCATTGTCTGGGCTCTGGGACCCAGGGGGCTTCGCAGTTGGGAGCAGCAGATCTGGGGACCCGCCTCCTGCCTCAGCGGCCCCCCCGACCTCCAAGCCTCTCACCCAGCACCCAGAGCCCCGCCGCAAGGCCCACAGGCTTCCCCTAGCCTTGTCCCTTTCCTAGACTTCCCAGAGAGGCCACTTAGCCGTCCTCTGTGGGACTCAGCGGGTGGGGGGGTCAGGGGTGGAAGGGAACAGTGTAAAGCTTAGAGGCCTTCCAGAGAGTGGAAGCAGAACCTTCCAGCTGGCCACCTACAGCCTGCAGAGCTGGGGTGGGGCAGCGAGTGGTGGGGGGCCTCGTCTTCTCTCCTCTCACCCCCAAGAGTTTGCTGTGCCTTTCTCCTGCCCCCGTTGGACTTTTTGCTGCTTCTTCCCCTCCCCCTCCCGTTTTCTCCAGGAAAGCCTGATGTTCCGCTCAGGCCAGACCGTCTCAGCAGAAAGGTGGCCTTGAACAGAACTGGGGGTCCCAGAAAGCCGGGGGGTGTGGAATGCCTGAGGATGGGCTCTGCTGAGCGAGGCCTCTGCACCCCCCTCTCCTAGCACGGGGTGGCTGTAGCCCATTCAGGGGGGCCCCTGGTCCACCGTGTCACGCCTGCATGCCTCGACCTCTCATTGCTGGGGTGTATCTGGGCCACTCCTCCCCCTGTTCCCCCTAACTCAGGGTAGCTACCAGCCCTCAGAAGACCTGACTTACAGTTGCCCCACTATAGGCTTCCAAGGGACTGAAGGGCCGGCTGCAAGGCTGCAGTGAGGTGAATATTCTCTCCTTTGAAAGCCACAGACCCAGCCTGAATTCTGCTGCTGCATTCACGGTTATCAGCTTTTTCTGCCTAGGTTCTGGGCAACTGATCCATGCATGTCAATTTTAAACACTGTTTCCTGGGCACGGGGCATGCGCCTGTCTGAGCCCCAGGCCTGTCTGTCCACGGCCCCACTGTTCACTGTTCTCCCCACCCCCCCGGGCACCTCCTGAGACAGTTTCAGGACAGTGCCCTGTTGGTTCATAGGACGATGGCCCACTGCTGTTCTCTCTCTCGGAAACGCAGTTTACAACCAGCCGAGGACAGCAGAGGGCAGGAGCGAGAGAGCCAATCTTTTTTCCTTGTTACTTGTTTCTGTTTGGGAAATGAAGTGGGAGTTTTGACATGGCCATTTAAATACTCTCTTCTAAATAAAGGTTTACCTTTCCCCCCATCTGCTGATGATTTTATTAGGAGCCCGAGGCCCTGATGGAGAATGGGGTGGGTGGAGGAGCTTCAGACACGGGGCGGGAGGGGCCCGGAGCCTTAGACCAGTGGCAGAGTGTGAATTCTGGGAGGAACAGGCTTGAGTGACACCTGCTCCGACTTCCTGGGGGTCGCAGCTCCTGTCTGTACCCTCCCGGCCAAGAGAAGAGCTCTGCGGGCTGCTTTCCTCCTCATTCCATCTGCCACCCCCAGGCCCTCCTGGAGTCCGCAATGCCTAGCAGGAGGGTCTGTGCCGGAAGTGGGAGAGACGCGTGTTTTCTCTGCTGAAGTGATGGCGGCCGCAGGCGGCAGGATGCATCTGGCGAGCCTCCTGCCAAGTGTCTATTTCTGATCATCTCTGGTGCAGTCTGGAGCCAGGGCTGAGCAGGGCCATCTGTTGCTGGCAAGGTTGCGCCTCCTTCCAGGCCTCACTGTGCTGGCACGTTCCGTCTTCCTGTGGGCTCCTCAGGCAACGCGTCCCCCAAGCCCCAGAGTTCAACCCGGAAAAAGCTCACCTGACAGACCCATCATCTCTCAGACTCTGAGAACCTGCTTTTGGGTTTTGTTGGAAATCCCTTCCCCTTCTCACACACACACACACACACACACACACGCACGCACGCACGCACGCACACACGCACGCACACTGACCCTCCGTGGGCTGGGACCCAGTGGGAAGAAACCAGAGAGTTTGGGACCTCGAAATACTGGCATCTTGGAGTGGTCAGTTCATGATTCGGGGATAAGCCAACCCTTCCATGCCTTTCAGTTCATACACCAAGTTGAACAGAAATTAAATCATCTCCCCTGGTAGGAATTTTCAGATGGAGAGAATTGTGTTTTCTGGGCCTTGGCAAGCAAGAGAGGCTAGAATTCTAGAGTAGAATTGGTGGGAATGGGGCCCGGAGGGATGGGGGGCCTCCAGTCAGGCTGGATACTTGGCTCCAGGGTAGGAAAGATTCTTGAACCCCTCCTGTGAGGTGTCTCCTTAGAGCCTCCTTTCCTGGCCCTGAGGATTCCCCCCCGCCCCCCGCCCCATCACTTCTCTCCAGTCACTTCTGCACTTCTGCACAGCACTTTAGCTCACAGTTGACACAGCTTTGTAGTGGCCCCCCAGGTGTCCCCTTTCTGTCAGACAATGGGGATTCATAGAGGAATGGGGGGTGGGGGGCTTTCTGCTTTGAGTCTGGCCACCGGAGCTCCCCAGGAGCAGGAGGGGGCGTGTGGAAAGCAGACACAAGGCCGAGGCCAAGGAGGGGCACCCGGAAAGGGCGCCCTGAGCAGCCGTAAGCTTTGAACTCTTCGGTTTTCACCCCAGTTCTTGCCCACATGAAAATCCTGACCAAAGGGTGGACTTCGGTGGGCTACTGCTCCCCAGATTCGAGGGCCTACCTCTCCTCGTGTCCACCAAGGGGGAGACCAGTCTCATCCTGAGGTCCACACCGCTCCGTTCTCCCCTCAGGAGCTCGGCAGTTTCAGGCAAGAGTTGGCCTGGTGGTATCTGGTACACCCTCAGGTGTCAGGAGGTGGAGAACTTCCTGTCACAAGCTGGGGGACCCGGTCTTCTGTCCCATCCCAGTCCTTGCACCTCCATAGTCAGGGGTTCCCATGGAGAGCAGTATAGGCTCTACTTATTTCTGGAAGGTGTCCATTCTGGCTGCAGGGTGGAGGGGAGTGCATGTTCTTTCAAGATCGGTCAGAGATGGCCCATGTCCACCAGCTGCTGGCCTTCACATGGGTCCCTCACAAGCTTATGTGAGGAGCAGTAGGGCCCCATATGGCCTGGCCTTTGGTCTTTGGCCTCCCTGCCCTCAGAGTGGTGATCAGACAGGGGGAGGCCCAACTCCACCCTCCTCATCTTCAAGACACTGAGATGAGCCCCCTGCATCCAAGGGCCCCACTGAGACATACGCCTAAGTCAGCGAAGGAGATGGAGCAGCGGAAATGGGGTCCCCCAGGACCCAGGGCGTGCTTGGTGGTCAACCCCAGCATTGCCCTGAAACGAGTGACACAGACAATACTTCTCTGCTGCGGGAGGGAACCCAGCGCCTTGTGCATGACAGGCCTGGGTCCCCTGAAGCTGCACTCGGTCCCCACGGCCCTCAGTGAGCCCTTATTTGTCTAGGACCTGCAGTGCAGGACCACCCAAGAAACCTACACTTAAAGCACTTGGAGTGAGTGGGACGTGTGGATACCCCCCGCATCTGCGTGTGAAGGTCCAAGCTACGGGCATCTGGGTGGACCCGTGTCATCGTCAGGGGCTGGCTGTAGAGGCACCCGTAGAACCGCTTCTGTTGGTGACGTAAGAGAGGCCTGTGGTTCCAGTGGACGCTCTCACTTCTCCCACTTGCTGTCTACCCCCGCCCCACCCCTGAGCACGGGCTGTGCAGCGACTGGCTGGGAGCAGAAACAAGAGCGAGCCTCCCCGTCCCGGCCTCTGCTCTGCCTTCATTCAGGGCACAGCTTGGGAAGAAAGAGCAGGGAAGAGCGGGGAAGGGCTGGTGTTGCAGGCGCTCTAAAGGGTCTGGCTGGGCCTGTCCAGCTGCAGCAGAACCTTAGAAGAGGCGGGAAGAAGTCCAGTGGTGGGTGGGGGGGACGTGCAGAGGAGGGAGGGCGGCGTGTCGGAAGCTGTGGCTTTAGCAAGCATCGCGCCTGATGAGAAGGAACTTCAGGTCTCTGTGGGCATCCAGGGTTTCCAGAAATAAGCCCCCTTTCCCAGACATCATGCCCTCAAGCCCCTGCACCCTGGGGTGGGTGGGGGGGACCAGGCCTGGGGACTGCATCCAGGGATGGACAGGCCAGTGTGGAGAGGGGCTCACTGAAAGTGGGCTGGAGAGCGCAGCTCCTTGGGATGGAGGGTGAGTCGGGTGGTGGGTGACAGAAGCATCATCATGACTGCAGGGGCTGTGATGGGGCTGCCCTCCCCTCGACCGGACGCACAGTTCCCAGCTCCCAAAGAAAGGAGACACAAGGGCTGGGTTCCTCCAGCCCACATGGGGCTGCTGGGAGAGTTTATTCACTGAGGGCCAGGTGAAAACAGGAAGCAGACAAAGGTGGACGCAATACTGACAGGTGAGCGCGGGAGGAAGAGCAGACAGGAAGCATGGGGGGCGGGGCCCAGCACCCCCAAGCTGCTGCTCAGATCAGAAAGAAAAGGGGGAGAGGGTCAATACTGAAGGGCCTGCAGCCCACCCACATCCACACTCATCTCTCGGGAACAAATGGGGTCTGGGTTCCCCAGACTCACTCTGGCAGAGAACGCAGCTGGGATGCACCACCCAGCACATTACCTCCGGGGCCGCTGGGGTACACAGGAGCCTTGTGGCCACGGCTGCTGGAGTCAGAGGACATCCCAGAGCAGGAGGTCAAAGGCAAATTCAACAGGACAGGAACATCACGTGACCCATCTCAAGTGCGTCCTGTTTCCCTGAACCCTTGGGTCACGTGCGGGCGGGACAGGGCGGCTTCATGCTGGGTGAGGGGCTTTGGGAGACCACAGGTGAGAGCAGAGGCTTCAAGGGAGAAGCTCTGAATGGTCTCCCGGGGGCCTACCCTGGTGCCAAGTGTCAAGGGCCAAGCTTTGGGGAGACCCTGCCCTTCCTCAGGCCCCACCCCCAGGCCAGGCGGGTCCTCGTGGGGTGTTGTCAGGGTGGCGTTCCCCTGAGTGAGGCAGACACTGTCCTGGGCCGCCCAGGAAGTGAGATGGGGTGACATGGGACAGTGCCTAGGGCCCCACAGTCCCTGTCTCTGCCCCCTTCTGGGAGCTCTGGGCACCAGCCTCTACCCAGAGTACGGCCCACCCGAGAGCTCAGCCCAGGAGGGGAGGAGGCTGCCACGGACAGAGTTAAACACACCCCCAGAGTCTCGGCTGGGAAGGGGGTGTGGAGCCCCAGGGAGGAGCAGAGAGGGGGGACGGCTTCCTCCCCAGGGCTGCAGTGGAGGGGGGGTGGCTGGGAGATCAGTGTTTCCCCAGCCCCCACGCGGGCCCAGCTCTGGGCGCCACTCCTGGCTCCTCCCCAGGGGTCCTCAGGGCTGGGTGGTCACTGCCTCACACTCGAGCCATCATCTGCACCCAGCCACCATGGACCCGGAACGGCCGGGTCCACTCCCTGAAGGACGGGGTGGTCATCCAGGGGTCACGGGTCCCTTGGACTGCTCTGACTCTAGGCCCAGAGCTGCCGCGGGCAAGCAGTACTCCTCCCTGGGGACCCTCAGAAAGGCAGCCCTCCTTCACCCCCCTCTGCGCCCTGCAGGCTGAGGACTGTGCCTGCCCCTCCCGCCCGCCAAACCCTCCAGCCCCTGGACTCTCTGCTCAGGGCATGGTGGGCAGGGCTCAGCCATGGTCATTCTGGGAGGGGCCTGGGTGCCCAGGACCCTGCCCCGCCCCATGGGCTCTGCGGCAAAGCCTAAACCTTCTATTGCTTCTGCATCTCTAGCCTGACCCCCGCTGACCTTGGCCTCCTCCTCTGCACTCCGCCCCTCTGCAGCTCACTGGCAGTTTCCCCTGCACGAATCAGAACTGCCTGTCAAAAGAAACCTTCGCAGTCCCTGCAGCCAGCTGCCCTCTATAGCTGGGACTCCGGAGCGCTTCCCACCAAGCAGATGTTTCTGCTTGACGACCCCCAGAACGGGGGATGTGGGGCGCTCTCCGATCCCCAAGCGGCCAGACTCCAAACTCCCCCCACCCTCTGCACTTCCACCCCCACTTCCTGCTGCCCCTCAGGCATCCCTGCCTCACACCTTCCACACCTCCCAGATGCCTGAGCTTCCAGAACCTTCCCCTAGCCCCTCACTGCACACGGGTGACTCGTCCCCGACACAGGTCACTGACCGGATCATCCCTGAGCCCCACCCCACCCCCCCAAACCCAGACAGGCTGTTCAGAGAGCCCTCTCCCCAGGACAGAAGCTTTGTGGCCTGGCCCTCATACCCCCTGCAGGGTGTCCCAGCGGGAAGCAGGGGGGGCCCCCACGGGTCTCACCCCCTCCCCTAGTCTGAGTTCCTGAACCCACCAGACCAGCTCACTGCCCGTGGGCGTGCCCACCTGATGCAAAGCTCATATCCTCCACAGGGCGCTGCTGGCAGGGAGGGCAGTGTTCCCCATGGTGGTCCCCTCGGGCCCCAGGTCCACCCACCCCTGTGGGCAGTGTCAGCATTGCCTAGCAGTCATCCCTGGGCGTTCTGTATGGGGCTGTGTGGGCACAAGGCCTCTCCTGGGCCCTCTCTCGGCTGTGCTTGCTCCCACATGGCCTCCCCCACGATTCCTACCCTGCTTTCCGTTCCCTGGGTCGGTTCCGCCAGAGCTGGCAGAAGTGGACCAACACTTCCGTCCCCCACCCCCCAGTTCCCCCACGGCACAGCCCGTGTAGGGCCGGTAGTTCCCACAGACAGGCTGGACCTGCGCCCCCAGCTCTCAGCTGCGGCACTGGGATTTCCAGAGCCCTTCCGCCATTGGGCAGGTTCGCCTGCTTTCAGTTCCCCCTAAATACCTTAAACTTCAAGTTAGAAGCTCCAAAGAAAATACTGCCTCTGGGCCCAAAGTTAGGGGTCTTGGCTCAGTGAGAGGGGGCAGCAGCTTGGGGGGAGCTGAGCTGGACTCTGAGGCCCCTCCCCACCCACGGGTGAGGCTGGTTCTGGCTGGTGGGTCCCGGCTCCCCAGACAGGGTGAGGCCAGGGCACTTGGCCAAGCCTCACACCCGGATCTGGTACCCGTTGAGGTCAGGCATGGCTTTGGGCTCAGCCGGTTTCTTCTCACCCGACGGCCTGTGGGGAGGAGAGAGGGGGTCAAGGACTGATCCTGAGAAGACCCTCAAGCTCAGGAGCACTGTGCCCCCCTAATCCTGCAGGGCATCCACCCCGAGTGCAGCAGTAGTGCTGAGACGGGGAGTTTTGGGGAGCCCTGCAAGTGGTTCAACCTTTCACCCTCTTCACCCCTGGTTATGACTGTCCCGGGGTGGGGGAGGGCGGCCTCCTGGGTCTCAGAGTGAGTCCAGGGGCCCCTGGAGTCACCAGAGAGGCGGATGCTTCACGCAAGAGCCAGACAGGTGTGGCGGGACACGGCAGAGACAGGGCTGGCCTGGTACTAATGATGCTAATGGTGCTAATGGGCACCTCTGCCATCTAGATAGAGGCAGAAGCCAGATAGGCAGGACAAGCACTGCACCTAGAGCACCAGCTACCCCACTCCCACACCCCTGTTCCTGGGGAACTGGTGGTGGTGGTGGGGGGACCAGCTGTCTGGCAGGACCACACTCTTCCTTCCTGCCCTCGGGAGTATTGCTTCCCTGGGGATGGGAGGCTGCCTGGCTGCCCGCTCAGTGGGGGCATAAGCAGACAGGTCCCACCCACCCTAATCACATCCCTCCAGTGAGGCAAATGAGAAAACGGGAAGGGAAAGGGCAGAGAGGAAACAGGGATAGAGGAGAGGAGAGGAGAGAGCCCAGCCTCCCTCTAGCACTGGCCCCCGACCCTGACCCTGGCCCTCCCCCACCGCCCCTGCGCCCCATTCCTCACCGCCTTTCACTCCGGCTGTTCCTACGATGGGGGCTGGACTGGGCCCGTTGCGGGGAGGAAACGTCCTTCTTCCGGTCCTTGGTGGGGGAGGGAGGGCCGGTCCCCTTGCCAATCTTGGTGGGGAGGAAGAAATGAAAGACCTGTGTTTTCGGGTCTCTCAAGCAGTGCTCTGGGAGGACTGTGGGCCCAGTCTTGGCCATCTTTGGCCCAGTGCAGCTCAGTCCTGGGGACCAATGGGGCTGCCCTGTACTCTAGCCTGAGGCCCTTTGGCCAATGTTCTACAGACATGCACGCCGATGGCAGACGTATTCCTGGTCCCCCCCTTCCGGCCCTACAGGAACTATGAGCTCTGATGCTCCCCCTTCACCCACCACCCCCAGGAGGCCTCCAGCCATGCTCTTCTTCACCCACTTCCCTGGGACGAAGGCTGCTGGGGCAGGGGGTGTCCTTAGGCAGACTGTCTGGCACGCCCTTGTTGGCTGCGGGAACGGCCTGCCCGGGCGGAGTAAAAGAGTGGAAGAACCTTCAAGAGAAGGACCACTGCCCCTCCGGGCAGCCAGATGAGCGGCGGCCGGGCAGGGCTCCAGCAGTGGCCAGCAGGCTCCTGCCAGCAGCTAAGCGTCCGGCCAGTAAGAAAGAAACAAAGGCCCGGAGTCATGCTTTCTAGGGCACAGAGCTGGGCTTTCAAATCAAGGGGGTGCCCCATGGGCAGCTGCAGAAAAGAACCTGTGACACGGGGAGTCCTTAGTGCCACACACTTCAGGACAGCACCAAAGATGGGGACCTTGGGCACCAACTCCCCAGGGAGACAGGACGGTGCTCTGGCAGCAGAGAGACACTGGGCAGGGTGGAGCCATGGTGCATCACCCTGGTGCATCAGGGGAGGATGCACCAGGGTGAGGGGGAGCAGCAGGGTTGGATGCAGCCTATTGCTTGCCCCAGGGCGTGGCACAGGGCTGCCCTCGCTCGTAGATGTGCGTGGGGCACCCTGGTGCCTGTGTCAGGCTGTCTCTAAGCGAATCTCCGGGCGCCCTGCACAGTCTGCACCCCCACCCCCAGACCTGCGCGCTGGCCTTGAGAGCACATCCAGCGCCAAGTCCCGGCTGCGGCGCCAGGCTGCCGGGAGGGGAGGGCCAGAGTCCTGGCTGCGGGATGGGGCCATCAGGAGGTGGGGGGGGGGGTTGTTCAACACCCCGGCAGGGGGTCTGGCAGGGCCCCCGGGAGAAGCCAGGATTCTGCCAAGCTGAGCTGAGGCTGGAGCTCCCTGCTTGAGTAGAAAGGCCCCCTTTCCCTCCTGCTGCGACCCCCACTGCTACCCAGTCCCGTAATTGTGTGTGCAGGGGACCCAGAGCAGGGATCATACCGAGGGAGCCACCAGGCAGGCTGCAGGCTACATGGGCCTCGGCCTCTGAGGGTGGCTCTGGGATCCACCTAAACTCAGCCTCCTCTGGCTGCCCGGCCCAGCCGTGGTGCTCCCTCTGCCCACCCAAGGGGCTGGTCTCAACCCCCTCCAAGGGGTTGGGAGGTTGGGGCGGGCAGAGGCGAGGCTTTCTGGACAGCGAGGCAGGGCGTTCTGGGGTAATTGGGGGGGTGGTGGGACGTTCATGGGGGCAGGGTGTTTGGGGGGGCGAGACGTTCCAGGCAAGGAGTGGGGCAGGGTGTTTTTTTGGGGGGCAGGTGTTCTAGCAGGGGCAGGATGCTTTGGGGGTGGGCAAGGGCAGGGGAACTTGGGGCAGGGGTTTTTGGCGGCGGGGCATTTCAGGCAGCGGGGAGACTAGGCATTTTGGGGACAGGCGTTCTGAGGAGGAGGTCTGGGGGGTTGGAGGACGGGTGTTTCTGGCAGGGGGAGTTGGGGCAGGGCGTTTTGGGGGCGTTCCAGGCAGGGGGAGTTGGGGCAGGGCGTTTTGGGGGTGCTCCCGGCAGAGGGAGTTGGGGCGGGGCGTTTTGGGGGCAGTCCAGGTAGGGTGAGCTGAGGCAAGGCGTTTTTGGGCAGGCGTTCTGGGCAGGGGTTCTGGGGGCAGCAGGCGTTCCCAGGAGGGGGACTTGGGACAGGGGGCTTTGGGGGCAGGCGTTGCAGGCAGGGGGAGTTGGGGCAGGGTGTCTGGCACCTTGAGCCGCATGTCGCGGGCGTGGCGCTCCAGCTCCTTGCGGAAGTCCTCGCGGCCCAGCCGCTCCACGTCCAGCACCGAGTGCTTCCACTCGATCTGCTCCACGCTGTGGGGGTCGTGCGACACGCACTGGCCCAGCTTCACCTTCTTGAGCACGTGCCAGCAGCGGCCGTAGGCGGCCTCGTAGTCCAGCACCAGCTCGCTGAGCGTGCGGAAGGCCGGCGCCTTGTACATCAGGTCCTCGCGCCGGCTCATGCCCAGGGCCCCGTAGCGGCCCCCGAAGTTCACGCCCAGCACGATGTGGCGGAAGTAGTTCCCTGAGAAGTAGGTCTTGAAGCTGATGGGGAAGCGCTCCAGGGTGGGCATGCTGTTGGTGAGGTAACTGCCCAGCGCGCAGCTAAGGAAACGGTGGGTGAGGCCAACGCACAGACCCCCCCAGCTCAGGGAGGGGCAGGGCCCAGAGATGGGGGCTTCCCTAGGCTTTAGTTCCAGGCAGCTGGCGTGAGGCGACTGCAGGGACCTCCCCAAACTCTGGGAGAGCTGGAGGGGGCTACTCAAGGCTTTATTGCCAGACAACTGGGGTGAGGCAGCTGCAGGGACCCCCAAACTCAGGGAGAGGTGGAGGGGGCTGCCCAAGGCTCTTTTGCCAGACAACTGGAATGGGCAGCTGCAGGGACCCCCAAAACTCAGGATAAGGTGGACGCCAGGGTCAGTGGGGCGGGGGTTCTGCCCAAGGCTCTAGCTGCAGAGGGCATAGCCCCCTTGGCTCCTGTGGGGCGTCCCTGGCATGGGCCACCCCAGTCCTCCTGGCCCAGCACTCACTCTCACCCCGTCACAGAAGAGTCGGGTGACAGGAAACCAGCTCTGGCTCTGGGAAACACCGTGAGGACTCAGGCCCAAGTGTGGCCCCAGGCGCACAGCTGTGCTCTGGCCCCTCAGGGAACTCCCCCCGCAGCACACTAGGCGCCCACCCAGCGCCAGCCAGAATGCCAAGTGCACAAAGCCAAATGCAGCCAACCAGGCTGGGGGCCAGCAGGGAGGGGGGACCCAGGAACGGGGGCTGGGAAAACAGCTGGGACGCTGGAGCACAGGCTAGCGTGCCCCCGGCTTTGAGTCTGAACCCCCACAGCGTCGAACTGTCAGGCCTGGACTCCGAGGCTGCACACTGCTGGTGACATCCTGGGCACTCGAGCCTACCGTCCCGCCCGCTACCTCCCCCAGATCTGCAGGATACATTCCCAGGATCACAGCTTCCAGGCATTTGATGGGTAGGGCCTCTTTGGTCATTTCCTTGGCCAGGTCCATCAGCCTGCAGGAGGGAGGCAGGGCCACGGGGACAGCGCTTTAGCAGAGGGCACCCTCCCTCCCATATCCATCCCCCTTACCCCCCACCCCCACCCCCACCCCCGCCCAGCCCAGCCCCCACTCCCCACTCCTTCCGCTTCCTCCTCCCCTAGCTCCTGCTGGCAGACACTGGCGTGATCTCTCCTAATCTCTCCCCTCTGCCGGCGCCTCCAGGCTGCCTCAGCGCAGGCATGGCTTCTCAGAAGAGCTTGCCACTGACCGCAGCTGCTCCCCCACATTGGCCAGCCGCCCAGGATCTCCAGCCTGCTCCTGACCTGGGGGACTAGGGGCCCTGGGTTCCTCCCACCTCACTGGCCCAGCTGCTGGCGTTGGTGCCCCAGTGTCTAGACTCCCCTGAGCCCTTGGGCCAGGGGGTCTCCAGCACAGTTCCAGGAAGCCCCAAGAGGGGCCCCAAGGTAACCGCCGGCACAGCAGAGGGGGCATGGAAGGGCAGGGTAGAGCCACCCTGACCCAGTGGCGGCACTGGGGGACATAGGAGGGTGTGCTGATTGGTGATGGAATGGGAAGTGAGCAGGTCAGCTGGCTCAGTCTGGACCAATCAGTGACTAGGAACGGCCAGTCTGGCACTAGGGGGATGATACACAGGTCCCCACAGTCCAGAGGCGACTGCAGGAAACGAGAGAAGGGGAAGCCACTCCAGCAAGGCTCCCTACTCACTGGGAAAACCCCTCGCACCCCTCCCCCCCACCAGTCCTCTACCAACAGAAGGGTGCTGGAAGGGACTGAGCTCTGCTGAGCAAATGTCCTGGAGTTCCCTTCTCAAGCACCTGGGTGGTTCCTCTTTGTCAGAGTTCCCCTTGATGGCCCCCAGTAAAATTCCTGAGGGGAGGGGCATTCTCCTGGCAAGTGTCCCAACATACCATGTGAACTTCCAAAGGCTCTCAGGGCTTTTGAACCCCGCCCTCCCCAGGGGGAAGTAACTGCTAGCCCGGGCAGGGGTAGGGAACATCCACACTTACCCCGTCAGAGGTCTGCTCTTCTTAATTTCAAAGAACTGGGTTCCTGTGTGATTGTACCTGGGGGCCAGTTAAGGGCTTCCTGGTTAGATCTGAAATAATCCCTATTTGGCTGTCCCCCCTCACACCCGGTTCCAGGCTTGGGGGAGAAACCGCCACATCGGGCACTGTTCTCCCAGCTGCTGCCTTTGGTACCCCCAGCATGAGACCTCTGGCCGGTATGGAAAGAGCTGGTCTCCCTCTGTGCTCCACTGTCCCCGTTCTGGGCCGCTCAGCGCTATGCCCCTGCTCCAAGCTGGCAGTCCTGGGCTTCTCGTGTTCCCGCCATCTGCCTCCCCGCTCACTGGCTGCAGAGGAAGGCAGAGAAGCCCTGCCTTGGGGCTGGAGCAGTAGTACAGCAGCTGACCCGGGCTTGATATTCCCAGCATCCCATATAGTCCCCTAAGCACCACCAGGAGTAATTCCTGAGTGCAAAGCCAGGAGTAACCAACCCCTGTACATCGCCAGGTCTGACCCAAAAAGAAAAAAAAAAAAAGAAGAAGCCCCTTGTTGGGTCCTGAGCAGGTCGGCTGTGGGGAAGTCTAGCCCGGCTCCCACCTCTGCCAGTGGCGGAAACAGAGCCCAGGAAGGGAAGCGGGGGCGAGCAGGGGGCAGTGCCCGGTCTTCACCCTCCCACCCCTTCCTCCCAGTCCCTGGTGCCTCTCAGCCCCAGTGGGTGGCCAGGGGAGGCTGCAACAGCTGTCCACAGGCCACCTCTGGGCCCTGCCCCTCCTGGGGGAAGCCATATGGAGAGTAGTGAGAGGAAGCCTCCCCGGTGGGGTTGGAGAGGGGTGCAGGGGAGGAGGCCCGAGGCAGGAAGGCTGGAGGGGGCTGGCCTCATTGGACAGCACCCATGGGGCGGCAGGATACTGCAGCTCCCTGATGTAGCGCTGCACGGCCTCCAGGCGCTCAGGGATGGGCGTCGTGGGCTGGAATGTAGGCACACTCGGTATGGGGACCTGGGGACAGAGAGAGAGCAGGTCATAGGAGAGCAGCGCACCCGGATACCCAGTCCGAGATAAGCCCCCAGAGAAGCCACCCCCCACCCCACCCCGGCCACCCCCCAGCCCCTGGCTCCCAGGCCCACCCCTCTCCCCGGAGGCCTCCTCCACAGCGAGGACGCTGGCCTTGGGTCTCCTTGCCAAGGTTCTCTGAGAACCTCGAAAATACACAGGCTGATTCACCGCTGACTTGAATTTTAAATAAGGTCTCCTGAAGAACGGCAGTGCTGGGGCTCTGCTCACTCGCGTTCGGGGTTCACTCTGGTTGAGTGCTGGGTCAGAATTGAAAGGACCCCACCCTGGGCTGGTGGCATCCCCACAAGGGGTGACCACACCCTCACAAGGAGGGGTCTCGTACCCTCATAGCACACTGACCAAGACCTTCTAGACCTTCTAACCCTAACCGGAATTGTTGAGGAATAAGTTGGCAGTCGGGGCCAGAGCACAGGGGATGTGTGAGGACAGCCTTGCTGTGGCTCTAACCCTGTAGGGACTCACGGGGGGCATGAGACTTGGCTCTTCTTTAGCATCTCCCTTTCCCACCACCCACTGCCCCGGACCGGTGTGACCACCATTACACGGGAATGTGGCCTAGAAAGGCAGGGCAGGAGTGGGAGAGGGTGGCAGAGGGTGTCCCCACAGGGCTGCAAGCACATGGGCTGTGGGGTGCTGGTCCTTCAGTCAGGAGCCCAGACTGTCACTCAGAAACCTGGAGTCCAGGACTCAGGGAGCACAAATCGGGCAGTCTGGCTGCAAGAGGTTGTCGAGGCTGAGAAGCCTGAGAACAGGATGAACCAGGACCCTCTGTGCACAAGAGCCGGAAATTCGGGGCCCAGCCCAACCGCTGAGCTCCCTCTGGGGAGGTGGTTCCAGATCTCTCATGGAGGCGCCCACCCACTCCCCACACAGGCTGATAAACTGAGGGTGCCAGCCAGCCTGGGTCTGGGTGTGGGTGAGGGAAGGGCTAAGCAAGAGCACAGAGACCAATAGGGTATAAGACACACCATCTTGGGGTGCGGAAGTTGAGCCCTCAGGCCCACTATTTTAGACAAAACAGCATCTGCAGTGCTCAGGCTTCAAAAGGGAAGGGACAGCAGTGACCTCTGACATTCCTAAATGGGGTACAAGGGGGAGGGGTTGCTGCAGACCCAGTCAGATAGCCTCTGATAGGCATCTCCAGACCCCAACGGGCACAGATGCGGGAGGAAAGGTCAGTCGGCCAGAGGCACAGCATGGAATGAGCTTCCGGCCAGCCAGGAAGTCCCTAACCAGCCGCTGACAGCTCAAGCCTGGAGAAGCCACTTCCTCTTTCTCAACACCCCCTTCCCCATACTGGTGGTACTGTCACCAGGGGATAAAAATAAAAGCCCTGGGAAGGTGGCTGCCCCCCCCCACCCCATCCTGGCCTGGCCTCTCAGGGTCAAGGTTCCGGTTGGGGGTGAGAGGAGCATTACAAATGACTTCACAGTTCATTAGCAATCGGTAGGGGGTGGGGAAGGATTGGGGGGGGTGTCCCACTCCAAATGTCAGGTGTCCAGTGAGTTCCCAGACACCCTAAGCAGAGGGAACTGAGCCCCGAAGTCCATGTGTGTTCACGGGTGCCAACCCTGGTCCCCACAAGGGCCTTAGTACCTGCCAACCAGGCAGAGACAGCCAGGCTGGCTCAGGGACAGGAAATGGGTCTCCAGGACTCTCAAGAGACCAGAGACTCCTAAGCAGGGCCTCTGGGCCACCACAGGGCGTGGAGCTGGAATGTCCATGCAGTGGCTCTGAGACTCCCTCTGCAGCTGGTGGACACCACCCTCCTGTTCTCTCTCTCTCTCTCTCTCTCTCTCACACACACACACACACACACACACACACATACACATACACACACACACGCTCACAGATAAGAACTGCAAATGACCAGTCTCCTGCATCATCACAGACAACCCCCCACCCAACCTCCCACCAACCAGAAGCCAGAAAATGCTTCTTCACCACGGAGGGGTGGGGCGCAGATCTTCCTGAGGACAAGGGGGCTTCTTGCTCCCTGAGTCCTTGGAGGCAGGAAGACGCCTGGGGAATTTGCGGCACGTGTGGACAGGAAGCAGGAAGCAGGCCAGCCCAGAAGTGGCTGCTGTCTCTGTCCTGCCTCCGCTCACTGTCCACTGTTCAGCCCCACCACTGGTCTGGCCTGTTGCAGGCTTGTCCAGCAGGCACCATAACAGAACTGACTTCTAGTGCCAGCAGGATGCCACAAATGGGGGCCTAGAGGAGGGTCAGGTCCCAGCAAGGGGCCCCGCCTGCTTTCTGTGGCCACTGAGCCACCAGCGCCCTGGAGAGGGGCGGGACAGGGGTCAGCCTGGCCAGTCTGCCTTCTAGAGGAAGTGTTGATCTGGTTCTGCTGGTGCTTGGGGCCGGGGCCCTATGGCATAGCTTCCGATGTGGGCCACTGAGCTCTTCAAGGTAGTGACAGCTTGAAACATCAAGGGGAGTTTTTTTTTTTTGAGGGGAGGAGTGGAGGGGATCTCCCAAGCAGTGCTTGGGGGTCGAGGGCCCCTCCTGCGAATACTCAGTCCACACTACTGGTGGTTCAAAGTGAAAAAATGATGGGGAGCTGTTTCGGCCCCAGGATGCCGGGGACCACCAGGACCATCCCAGCAGTGATCAGGGGCCTTCAGGGCTGTACCATGGTTGCTGGGATTTGAGCTTGGGCCCTGGTGCATGCGAAGCACATGGTCCAGCACTGAATGATGTCTCTGGTGCAAGGAGAGAGCCTTCAGGAAGGAGAGGCAGTGTTCCTGGAGCAGGGATCCTCTGGGAAACGTGGGTACTGTCACATACCAGCCCTGGGTTTGTAAAGAAGTGCTTCTCAGCCAGGGCCAGAAGGCCTCCTGTGGGCCTGGGAAAGTCCAAGGGGACAATCGTGTAAATGGCCGGGAGGACAGGGCATGAAAGTAGGGGGCAGCCGGTAGGACAGGGAGGTCACAGGAAGGATATAAGGCTCGGAGGGGACTGCGGAGGGGGAGGGGGAGGTTAAGAATCAGCTTTATTTATTTGTTTATTTTTGCTTTTTGGGTCACACCTTTTTAGGTGATGCACTATGGGTTACTCCTGGCTCTGAACTCAGGAATTACTCCTGGTGGTGCTCAGGGGATGATATGGGATGCTGGGAATCGAACCTGGGTCGGCTGTATGCAAGGCAAACACCCTACCTGCTATGCTATCGCTCCAGAACCAGTTTGAAGGAGGTTTTCCCAAAGTACGAGTGGGTGATCTGGGCTAACTCTCATTCTGTGTTGGTTCGCTGGGTCTCCTCACCTGCTCATCTCAGCGGTACTCCTTAAGTGGGCATCATTATTATTCCCATTGTACAGCAGAGGAGACTGAGAACCCAGGAAATGCCATGCATGCCCAGTCCTCTGCTATGGCAGAGGCATGACTTGAGCCTTGCAGGTGGGGCCCCAGAGTTCTCTTTCCTACCACACGACACTGTGGGGTCCCAGAAGGGGCATGGATGGGGGAGGCAGGGCATGCACAGCTGGCAAGGTTGCATACTGGGGTGGTGGAGGTTCCCCGCTGAAGAACAGTTGTCACAGAGGATCTGGGAGGCTCTTCCCCACCTCTCACTTTCTGAAAAGACGTGCAAGCAAACTCTCCCATGTGGATGCTCCCAGCTTTCTGCTTCATCTCAAGTATCACTGTATCACTGTCATCCTGTTGTTCATTGATTGCCTCGAGCAGGCACCAGTAACGTCTCCTTCGTCCTAGCCCTGAGATTTCATGAAGTGCCACATTTGAGGCTCTTTCAGGGTCAGGAGAATGAGACCCATCATTGTTACTGGTTTTTGGCATATTGAATACGCCACGGGGAGTTTGCCAGACTGCTGTGCGGGCAGGATACTTTCGGCAGCCTGCCAGGTTCTCCAGAGTAAGAATTAGATAATAAGCAGAGCCCCGGCAGCTGAAGACCTCTGGTTCCAGCCACAGCCATGCTTAAGACCACTCTCCGTATGTTCGGACGAGCCTCATGCACGAAGGAACCGGCAGAGGAACCCAGGTGTGCGGGACCCGGGGCTTAGATCTCCAAGCTTGCTCGGACTGAGACTGGGTCTCCTCCACCCAGATCCCCCATCTTCCAGTATGTAGGCACCCACCAACTGCCCCTGGCGCCGTGTAATCCCATCAATGGCCAAGACCCAGAGACTATAAAACCCAGGTCCCGGAAGAGAACAGCACAGTCTCCTGCCTCCACACCTGGCGCCTGGCTGTCCTCACCAGGGCCCCTCATCTCAAGTGGTATTTGAAAAACAATGTGACATCCCAGGGAGCCCCTCTTGGGCTCCCCATAGCATGACCTCCTCAGTGCCAGTTCTAAAAGCGGGGTCCCACTGGGAGGGGTCAGCCCTGTGGCTGGCTGGCTCTACTGCTCCAACTCTGGGCTCCCAGCATGGGCCCCCAAAATCAACTAACGTCCAGAGCCTCTGAGGCAACACTTTCTTCTGGGAATTTATCCCGAGTGAAGGACCAGAGATGAACTCAAGGAGGTGCAGAGTGTTCTTTAAGAATAAATAATGGGAACAAGGCCTGACCACAGGAGAGTTTTAAAGTTCTACGTGAGGGGTGAAGTGATAGTACTGTGGTATGATTTGGTCCCCTGAGCCTACCAGGAGTGATCCCTGAGCACAGAGCCAGGAGTAACCCCTGAGCATCACAGGGTGTGGCCCTAAACCTCTACCCCACAATAAAGTAAGTTCTCTGTTAGGACCAAGAGTAATGCAATTCAAACCCACCTGGAAACATAAGCAGCTGCTCTGCTAATCAACAGCCGAACACCCTCATCCCCACAGACAAGTTCTGGAGGCTCTAAGAACTCTAAAAAAACAGCAACAACAAAACCAGGTATACCTGCTGGCTTCCCTGGCCTCCTCCTCCTCACCTGAGCAGGCACCACTGTGCACTGGGCCCTCCCTGCCGGTCACAGCTTTCCTGCCTGTTCTCAGGTCCCATGACCTGGAGAACCCTCCTTTGGTCTCAACCATAAGGTAAAGAGATCAGGCTTGTCTTTCCTCCATGTTCCCTGCACGGGGCCCCGGTGCCCTTTCATTCAGCACATACAAGTGCCTGCTCTGTGCTGTGTTTATAGGAGGCATTTGGCAAGACAAAGATGAATGAGCTGCAAACTGGGCCTTGGGGCCATATGCAGGGGACGGTCATCACAGACGAGCTCCAGAGCTGCCCAGGAACACTGCAGAACTCTCCCTGTCCCAAATCTAGTGTCCAGCGAAGCAGACTTGGACTTGGAAACCTCCAGGTCAGACCTGAGTCCCCGCTCTGCCACTAACGGTCCATACACAGGACCTTGAGTTGTCCTGGTGGGTGCCTGATCCTCATGGTAAAAGGAGCCCCAAGTTGCACTTACTTTACAAGGCCGCTGGAGAATGCAGTGGGATAACTAATGCACGGAAATATTTCTCAACATCTGACGCCCCGTGCCCCGAGCCATTCTGACGCTCTCTCTGCCCTCAGTTCTCTGGCTTTGCAAATAAGACCACATGAAGGAATTTCTTACTTAATCTGCTCTGTCCTCTGAAGAAGACATGGAATTGAATTTTCAGGGGGGTGGTCATTCAACAATTACTTTATTACTTTTTTCCCCCTCTAATGATCGGAAGCAGGAACATTATAAAGGAGAAGGAAAAGGACCTCCAGCAAAGAGGGCGTTAAGTATGGGGGGGGGGTCCCAGAACAGCCCCAAGGGCAGGCGTGAAAACCTCCTTCCTAGCAAGTAGGTCCAGCATTTTCCCATCTCACCTCCTGGGGCCCATCTAGAGCCCCAAGTTAAGTGTGGCTTTGCTCTCCCAGCCCCAGGGTCCTCCCCCAAGCCCCTCACCTTGGGCAGGTCCGAGGCCCCGCGGATCCGTTGGGCCACCTTCTCTCCGTCGGGGTGGATCTTGGCCACATGCTTCCACATCCTTTCCCAGGTGGCCTCGTCCACAGGCAGCCCACCCCGGTTGACAAAGAAGGGGACTCCTCCATCTCGCAGGTCCTCTTCCCCTTCCTCCTCTGGCTCATCGTCCCGCGGGGCCAAGGCTCCTTCACCGCTTTCCAAACGCCTGAGCCCAGAGGGGGCCGCGGCTGCGGAAGGGGCAGAGGCAGGGGCAGCGCCGCCGCCGCCACCGCTGCTGCTGCTGCTGCTGCTGCTGCCACCCGCGGCCACCTTCTTCCCTCCTGGCATCCCCAAATCCTTGCCGGGGGGGACCGGGCAGATGGGAGGGACGTGCCAGGAGGCACCAAAAATATAGGTGGCTCACAGGAGGCCTCCCACACACCAGCTGCGGAGATAACACATGGCCAAACAGTGCGAGGCTCCTTTAAGAAACCAGGGCGTGGCTCCTGTACAATAAAATACTACTCGATAAGAAACAAAAACAAAACAAAAAATCAAATCAAATCAGAGCAGCTAGGTGAAGTGCGGGGCAGAGCTGGGTGGGTGATGGGGACCGGCTTAGAGGCTTTGTTCGGTTAGAAAAAGGGGAGAGGGAGAACACACCCCAACTTGGCAGCCTTCACAAAGGCACCCCCTCCTCCCCTCCCGTTTGACAGGGAGAACAATGATGCGCAGAAGCCCGGGCTGGCGGGGATGAAAAGTCGGAGGGAAACTGAGGTCCGACCGCCGGGACCTTGGGCCGCAGATGAGGCCCAGGCACGGATGCCCACGCCGGCTGGGGGGTCCCCCCTTTCTCTCCCAGACCCCAGGTTTGGAGAGAACCCCAAACAAAACGCCCGCACGGCGCACAGCTGCGCGCTCGGAGCGGCGAGAGGCCAGCGGGGCGCGCGGGCCGGGACGCGCAGCTGGCGGGGCGCGGGGAGGGGGTCGGGCCCGCGCCCCCCGGCCCGGGCGCGGCTCAGCGGGCCGAGCAGGGCGCGCACCCGGCCGGCCCAGCCCTCTCGGGCCGCGGGTCCCCGGCCGCGGGGGCGCCGCCCCGTCCCGGCTGCGGCATGAGCGCGGGCGCGACCGCGGGATGCTCGGCGGCGCGGTGGCCGCCGGGGGTGGACGCGCGCGCGCGGGGGTGTCCGTGCCGCAGCTCCGCGACGCTCCGCGATGCTCCGGCCGCCGTCGGCCGAGTCCCCTGCCGGCCCGCCGCCCACCAGGCACGGCTCCGGCCCGCCCCGCGCATGCGCCCCGTCCCCCCCTTAAAGGGCCAGCGCCTCCCCGCCCGGTCCTGCGCCCCGGGTTCCGCCCCCTCCCCCCAGTCCCCAGGCGCCTCCCTGCTGCGGGGAAGTTAAGTTCACCCGGCGCGCCGCGGAGCGCCGACGCCACCGAGGTTCCCTTCTGGGAGACCCGCAGCGCTCCAGGCTTTGCGAGGGATCACCTTCGCACGGGCAGATGCAAAAGCAGGGGCTGGAAGCCTGGGTCGAGGGGGCCCGCCCGAGTGATGATAGTACAGGGGGTGAGGCGCTTGCCTTGCATGCGGCCGACCCGGTTTCCTGCTCCCCCCAGCACCCCAGATGATCCCTGACTCAGCACCGCCAGGAGTGATTCCCGAGCATAGATGCAAACAAGAAGTGCCGTGGAAGACTCGGTCTCTAGATCGGATTCTGTATTTCTATGGGCTTTCCCACAGACTGCTTTCCTCCCTGGGCCTCGGTTTCCCCAATCTCAGTTCAGGTAATCAACACAGGGTGAGCGCAGAGTATTCCTGGATATCTGGGAGTTCCCGTGTCTACTCTGCGGGTTACAATCCAACAACTTCCCCCTCCCCCACCCCACTTCCACCCTTTGGCTTGGATCTTGGAGCTTAGGGTTCATCTCTGTCCCCCAACGCCCAAGAGCAAGAGGATGCTTTGGGGGGAACCCAGACCTCTAAGAGCAGGAGACCGAGGTGTCCCCACAAGAAAGTGACAGTACTTCTGACTGTGGTGCCTGTTAGGGATCCCATGTCCCCACTCTCCCCTCTCCCCCACCCCCACCTCCACTCATCAGGCACCCAGAAGGCATGAACAGTAAGCCCACCCAAGAAATGTGTTAAAATGGTACAGCTGTGCCTTTTAGACTCACCTGACTCCAGTCCACTCGGTGAGTAGGGAGTCACTAGATTCCTAGACCTTGCGGGCAGATTCAGTGCCTTAGGTGAGGGCTGCATTTGTTTCTGACGGGCTGAGGGTCGAACACCCTGCCAGGGAGAAAACCCTGCAGGTTCTCAGTGTTTCTCCAGCTGTTCTGTAAATGGGTTCCTGAAAGTGCTTGGTCTCTGAGCTTTCAATTTCTGTAACCCCCACAAAGTCCTGTGCAACCCTTTGCTTGTGTTCTTCAGGGTCAGAAACCAAGAGTGACAAGTGATGTAAAGGGTTATGGGGTCTAAAGATGCTGAAAGTAGACTATAGACCTATGGCCACTCAATACCTCTATTGCAAACCACCACACCCCAAAGGAGAGAGAACAAAAGGGAATGCCCTGCCGCATAAGTGGGGTGGGGTGGTGGGGGATGGGGTGGAAGTGGTGGGAGGGATACTGGAAACATTGATGGAGGATAATGGGCACTGGTGGAGGGATGGTTAAATGATCATTGTATGACTGAAAAGCAAACACGAAAGTTTGTAAACTGTACCTCATGGTGAGTCACTAATAAAAAAATTTTAAAAAAATTGAAAAAATTTGAAAAAAATTTGAAAAAAAAATTGAAAAAAAATTGAAAAAATTAGCAATCATTAAAAAAAAAGGTTACGGGATTTAGGAAAGTTAGCTTAGTGGGGAGCCCCTCTTAAGCTCACTTAGTCAAGAAACCCCCAAGCATATCAGAGTCAGAGACCAACCAACACAGTGGCTGGTTGTTTAAGTGGGAAAATCAAGTTAGAGAGAAATATCCTGGGAATTCAACGCTCTCACTTCTTTGCTCCCATACATTGAGAATATGGAAATGCAAACAAAAAGTCAGAATCTTCGTTCATTTCATCAACAGACGTACTGTGTCTGCTATGAATCCTGCTTTGTTGGAGGCACCAGGACGCCTCGCTTGGGGGATGGAAATCTGTTCCAACAGACACAGTAGAAGCCCCCAGGGAACCCTGGAAAGTCTGGACACCAGCCTAACCCGGGAGATTGGACTGGATGGGCCTGGCACGTCTGTGCTTGGAGAACACTCCCTAAGTGAAGCCACAGTGCTTTGGTGCTTGAGACCCACTAAAATCCGGTCCAACACGGTAAAAACGACTTCCTCAGATAACCCAATAACAGGAATCAGTGTGTGATTGATGGCTTTCCATTTGGGGGTTCTGCCTACCAATCCAAATTCTTCCAGACTCAGCGTCTCACCTCCCTGCAGAATTCTCAGAGAACATATGACCTCTTCTCTGTGTAAACACACAAAAGGACGGGCAAAGGGACAGCAGCGGCCTATCTCTCCCGCCGCCCGCGTTTGGTAGTCTCAGGCCATTTCCCCACTTCAGGGAGGTCGAGGGCGATGGTCAGGCGAAGGAAGGAAACGAGGGCCAGGCTGGTTGGTCTTAGCAGCACTTTATTACATGGAATTAGTGTATGTCATAGAGGCCCCAGGATCTCTCAAGCACGTGCTCACCCAGAGAGCCCCGAAAATATCCTTATATAGATCTGGGTACCTCTAAAGGGCGCAATACAGTGATGTCATCAAAAGGAGTTACAGAAAGAACAGTGAGGCAGCAAAACATACATTGTTTCTTTATATCTGCAGGCCAGTAATCTTGGCCTCCAGAAAGAAGATACAAAACCAAGACTGAAACCTTTCACGAGCACTTTCACAAGCAACAAGCACTTGGATTTGCATAGACCAGTCTGCTAGAGCTTGGAATCTACATCCCAAAGACATGTACCTGAGCTTTGCATCCCAAAGACTAGCCTGCCTAGAGCCTGGAATCTACATTCCAAAGATCATGCCTGGCCAGCACCTGAGATTACTGAGAGAAAAGGGAGACTGCCTCTTACAATATACAGAAATTATTTACTGAAGGCAGTTTGAAGGGGAGAAATGTTCAGTCTCATCCAAGCTAGTCAGGACACACGGGAAAGCTGCTTCAAGGACAGATTCTCACTTAGCAGATCAATCTACCCTAGAACAGAATACCCTGGGTGTGTTTCTCTTCTCCTTGTCCAACAAACATATCACTTAATCACTTAACTTCCCGTTAGTCGTAGATTTGCTCGAGCAGGCGCCAGTAACGTCTCCATTTGTCCCTGTCGCGTGCTAGTGTAGCCCAATGGCATCTGTTCGCTCTGGGAACATTAAGAGCCTCAAACCGATCGTTCATGATCTTGACGAAGAAGTCTGACCATCTGGTAGGTGGGCGGCCACGCGGTCTTTTGACATCCCGTGGAATCCAGTCAGTAACAGCTCTAGTCCAGCGGTCGTCTTTAAATCTCATTACGTGACCAGCCCATCTGATTTTTGACACCTTGGCAAATGAGACAGCGTCCCTGATTCTTGATCGTCGACGGATGTCGGAACTCCGGATTCTTTCTCTCATTTGAGTGAAATGTGATATTCCAAGCATAGCTCTTTCTATTCTTCTTTGGGAGACCTGAATAGCATTCTCATCCTGTTTGCGTAGGGCCCAGGTCTCTGAGGCATATGTTAATGCAGGAAGAACAGTGGAATCAAAGAGATGTGCCCAGAGCCGGAGGCTCTTCGTCCTCTTAGCTATTTCTTCTACGTTCTTAAAGGCGTTCTAAGCCCCTCTCTTCCTCCTGCGCAGTTCAGGTGCCAGGTCATTTGTCATGTTGACTTCTCGACCTAGGTACACATAGCTGTTGCATTCGGAGATGGTCGTTCCGTTGAGAGCAAATGGGGCATCAGGAACGAGGCTGTTTCTCATAAACATTGTCTTCGTAAGATTCAGCTGTAGTCCTACCTTTCCACACTCACGGTCAAAGTCGGCCAGCATTTGTGCCACTTGGCTGATGTTTGGTGTTATTAAAACAATGTCATCAGCAAAGCAGAGGTGGTGTAGTTGCCGACCATCTATCTTCACTCCCATTCCTTCCCATTCCAGTCTTCGCATGATGTTCTCGAGGGTGGCACTGAAGAGTTTCGGTGAAATGGTATCACCCTGCCGAACCCCTCTCTTGACATCAACGATCACTTCTTTGTAGAATGGTGAGATCCTGGTAGTGAATCCGCAATACAGCTCATGGAGGATCTTGATGTATTGGGCTTGAATGCCCTGATTGGCTAGGGCTTCAATGGCCGCTTCCGTCTCAACAGAATCAAAGGCCTTCTTTAAATCAATGAACGTTAAACAGAGCGGCATCTTGAACTCCCGAGAAACCTCAATGAGCTTGGTTATCGTGTGGATATGGTCGATGGTGCTGAATCCTTTGCGGAACCTGGCTTGCTCGCATGGTTGTCCTTCATCTAGTGTTCTGCCAATTCTATTTAGGATGACTCGAGTGAACAACTTGTAGATGACAGACAATAGGCAGATCGGGCGATAGTTGCCAATGTCATGGATATCTCCCTTCTTGAACAGTAGTACGGTCCTGCTGGTTTTCCATTGGGACGGAACCTTGCATTCAGACAGGTAGCGAGTGAAGAGCCGAGCCAGTGTATTGATGAGTACTGACGGCAGGTTCTTCAGGTGTTCAGGTCTGACCTTGTCTGGGCTGGGTGCTGTTTGTTTCTTTACCGACGAAATGGCGTGTCGGATTTCGGAAGGGAGAACGTTGGGAACGACATATCCATCCTGTGGAATTTGGTATGTTGGCAAGTGGACATGGCTATCGAAGAGATTTGAGTAGAAGTCATGGATAATCTTCTCCATTGCCGTTCTGGAGGATGTGATGGATCCATCAGGACGTCGGAGGGCAGTCATCTTGGTCTTGTAGTTGGCGAAGGACAGGCGGGCGTTACGAATACTTTTCCCAGCTTCTGCCACATCTAGCAGTACTTCTGCTCTTCTCTCTTTGAGGTCTTCCTTGATCACATCTCTGCACTGCTTTGCGAGCTCGGAGGTTAGTTTGCGATTGCCTGAGGCATGCGCCAAACCACGCTGGCGAATTAGCTCAAGAGTTTTCGAAGACAGGCGTTTTTTTGTGGCGATCTCTCTCTTGGCATTCCTCGCACATTCATGGAGGTGCTGAACCAGTCGATCGTATTCCTTGTCAATGTTGTCAACAATGGCA